CCTCAGTTTGGTGGCCATTTTGTCTTTAATACAACTCTCCCATCAGGTGCCCCCCTCCTCCCCACCTCTTTCCTCCTTCAATAGCAAATATCTTTACTTCTATTCAAGTTAGATGGGTATTTTTTTTCATCAGAAGCAACCAAACGGACAGGCTTTAAGCTGAGACCAATAAGATAAAATACATTATCTTATTTTATGTTATAACTCCATTAGCCCCAAAATTGATGAGCGCCTGATTCCACCGTATCGTGACATATTTTGGAAATGCTAAAGACATGGTCGTATACGTGTGACCGATGGACTGTCTTTGGTGATTCCGCGTCTCCCAACACTGCTCATGACACTTGGAGGATTAACCAGATATTGTCCTGGGCTGTGACAAAAGACTAAAGAATAAAACACAGGACAGTTCAGTGTGCGATGTCGCTGGCCTGTTTTTTGTTTTTCATTGTGAAGAACCGACATCTTGAGTGTAGCGGTTTTGGCGCTTTGCTGTCACGTGCACAAATCACCCAGGTTCAATTCACCAGTGGGGAGAGTGTTCATCGAGTCGAGTATCTTGGTCTTCCTGCTGGGATGTTGGCCTCAACAGGCAGTTGAGACAGGGTTGAAGCTGACCTCCAAAGTCATCTAAATTGTGTTGATATGGACTTAAAACACCTGCATTTGGGGAAACAAATCGTTGAAGAACTTTTCGGGCAAGATTTCGAAATTGGAGCAGCATCATGTATGTGTGCAAATAGGGTTTTTGAATGTTTGTTTTTATTTTTGTTCTTCAACTTCTTGATAGTGTTTTACCAATTTCCAGAAACCTTTTTGCCCCACAATTGTTCAATATCCTTTCTTTTTTATTTTTTCAAGAAAAAGTATGGGGGAAATACACTGAAAAGGTGTATTGAAAATTAATATTTTGTTTTATTTCTTTCATTTATGATTGGTAATTTTTGTGTGTGTGTCTCTGTTTTGATCTATCGTTGTAAAAAATAATGATGACAAGATTTCTTTAAGTTGTTAGAATATGAAGGGATCAGTGGAAAAAAAACAACTCGACTTTGTGAAAAGCTTTAATCAACGAGAGTTTGCTTGTAAAGACAGCGTGTTAAATTGTGTTTCTTTATCCGGCTGTGTGAGAAAATGGCGTGTCATGAAATGTTGATAGTTTTTCCTGTGAGATAGATGCACTATTGTAATATTTATCTTTTTTTTTCAGCTGTACATCTGTATCAATGATGACTGTGATAGTGAGATCAAGGGGGGCTCTCGTGGCCTAGAGGTTAAGGTGTTGACCTCTCATTCAAAAGGTCCCGGGTTCGAATCCGGGTAAAGACAGAACAATTTTGTTCTCTAAATTTATCTCCTTTCACCTCATTTCCTCCTCTCTAGCAATGTTCTGTCGTCTGCTTTCGTCTCCTCTTTCTGCCCCCACCCCTCACCTCCTTTGCCACTTCCTCTGGGCTCCTGATTCTTTCTGCAGCCTTTCTACTGCTGCTCCTTTGCTTCTTCTTACTGCTGTCTTTCAGCCACACCCCTGATCTTCTGGTAGGAAAGATCTACACCTAGCCTTCTCGGACAAGGGCGAAAAATCTCGGAGGGCCCGTGTGCAAGTTGCGCACGTTAAAGATCCCTTGGTGGTCTAAAATCGATAAGAGTAGGCTTCGGCCGCCACCGGGGCAAAATTCAAAATTTCCTACCAACTGAAAATATTAGGTGTGTCCCGCGCGCTCATATGACCTTATGCAGTTGCGAGCGCCGTAAAACACTTTACAAAAACAGAAAACAAACAAGTGAGATCAGCAACACAACAATGTTTATGGGCCAAGATACTTATGTAGGATCTACAATATCTACTGCATTTTAGACACTGGAAGTCTGATGGCACGTTGTATAGATATTTCGTCGCCTCCGAACGAACTATTTTGTCCAAAGCGTACTTAAGTAGTAAAGAGGCTCTTGCAACAAAAAATAGTTCTGAGGTGACGATTTGTCTGTGTCTTTACAGTAATGGAATGCAATACCGGTATTACTAATGTTGGGAGGCAAAGTTATTAGGTCCAAAGAACCTTATTTCACGCGCAACAAAGATGAATTTTTCTGGTTTTATCTTTTTATGGATGATTTTTCGGAATCTGGGAGCAATGAACCCTTCACATTCAAACACACACGCCCTGTATCATTCCACAGGTGGGAAGGGGGGTCTTAAAGGTTCAGAGAGGTGCAAAAGTTGGTATATATATATATATATATATATATGCTGTCATGTCACATCGTTATTGTTATACTTAGATCATTAAAATTATGAGCACATTAAATTTAGTTGGCCCTTTTTGTAAAGCATTTTTTTTTCTGTGTCGTTAAATCATATTTTATCATAACTGATTTAATGAGCCAAAAACTTAAATGACTTCATTATTAAAACAATTACTGGGTTCTTTCTGTATAACTGTGTCTACTTCTGCACCTCCTTGTATACCGATAGCTGGGTGCAAGATGATAAAAAAGGCCAAATTTCTCCATCACATTTGATGTCTTGTATTCAACTGTCGATAATGTCTATATAGGACTGTTTGTTTTTAAATTGCTTACGATGATTTTCAGGCTTGATTATATCTGTGACCACCATAATTGATATAAAACATTAGATTGGAACTTGAGATTGATCGAATTTCCACTACACTGGGGAGGGGGGGGGTTCCACTGATTCCTTTATCATAGCGATTGTCTGAGTGCTCTGAAGGAGTTGCCTGGAAATGTTTTAGAATTGAAGAGCGTGTAGCTCAAACTCAGTTTATTTTATTTATTTAAAAACATTTTTTTGTGTTGTTGAATGTGCAAATAATGGTTTGGAATGCTGCTCTTTTTCTAATCAAGTTTCGCAGTGTGTTTAAAAAAAAATGGTTTCTCATTTCCTGTCTGGATTTAATATTAAGCCTTATTGTTTTTGACAAATGTTGATCAATCTGAATGAAAGGTGTCATTTAGTGTTGTTCATTTTTCTTTTGTTTTGTTTTGTAGAGCAGTTTTGGTGGGAGGGGTGGCTTTAAATAATTATTTTCAGCGTTTTAGGGATAT